CACCTGGACCATAGAAACTCCACCTGGACCATAGAAACTACACCTGGATGATAGAAACTACACCTGGACCATAGAAACTCCACTTGGACCATAGAAACTACACCTGGACCACATGGTATTCCCATGGACAACATAAACTACACCTGGACCATATAAAATAGACCTGGACCATAAACTAGACCTGGGCCATAAAAAACTAGACATGATCTATATAAACTACAGCTGTACTACAGGAACTAGACCCAGACCATAGAAACTAAACCTGCTCTATAGAAACACCTGGACTATATACCTGGAGTATAGAAACTAGACCTGAACCATAGAAAACCTGGATTATACAAATTAGACCTGAACCATAGAAACACCTGGACTATAGAAACTAAACCTGGGCCATAGAAACTGCACCTGGGCTATATGAATTACACACTGTCCCTTAGAGACTACACCTGGACCATAGGAACTACACCTGAACCCCAGAAACCACACCTGGACCATAGAAACACCTGGACTATAGACACTAGACCTGAAACATAGAAAAACTTGGGACTATAGAAATTAGACCTGGACCATAGAAACATGGACTATAGAAACTAGACCTGAATCATATAAACACTTGTGCTATATAAACTAGACCTGGACCATAGAAACACCTGGACTATAAGTTGAGTTCATAGTTTTTATGCTTGTATGTGTTAGTGTACAGCACATTGGCCAACGGTGTTGTTTTAAAGTGCTTTATAAATAAAGTTGTATTGTGTTGTATAAAAAAAAACCACACATAGCCCATAGAAACTACAGGAGCTGGTCATAAAATTAGAATATGATGAAAAAGTTGATTTATTTCAGTAATTCCATTCAAAAAGTGAAACTTGTTTATTATATTCATTCATTACACACAGACTGATATATTTCAAATGTTTATTTATTTTAATGTTGATGATTAGAACTGACAACTAATGAAAACCACAAATTCAGTAAAATTAGAATATTGTGAAAAGGTTCAATATTGAAGACACCTGGTGTCACACTCTGATCAGCTGATTAACTCAAAACACCTGAAAAGGCCTTTAAATGGTCTCAGTCTAGTTCTGTAGCTATACAATGATGGGGGAGACTGCTGACTGACAGTTGTCCAAAAGACGACCATCGACACCTGCACAAGGAGGACAAGACACTAAAGGTCATTTCTAAAGAGGCTGGCTGTTCATAGAGCTCTGTGTCCAAGCAGATTAATAGAGAGGTGAAGGAAAGGAAACAATGTGGTAGAGAAAAGTGTACAAGCAACAGGTGTAACCACACCCTGGAGAGGATGGTGAAACAAAACCCATTCCAAAATGTGGGGGAGATTCACAAAGAGTGGACTGCAGCTGGAGTCAGTGCTTCAAGAACCACCACGCTCAGATGTATGCAAGACATGAGTTTCAGCTGTCACATTCCATGTGTCAAGCCACTCTTGAACAAGAGACAGTGTCAGAAGTGTCTCGCCTGGTCCAAACTTATGTTCTCTGATGAAAGTAAATGTTACATTTCCTTTGTAAATCCAGGTCCCAGAGTCTGGAGGAAGAGGAGATGCACAGAATCCACGTTGCCTGAGGTCCAGTGTCAAGTTTCCAGTCAGTGATGGTTTGGGGCCATGTCTTCTGCTGGTGTTGGTGCACTGTTTTCTGAGGTCCAAGGTCAACACAGCATCTACCAGGAAGTTTTAAAGCACGTCCTGCTGCTGACCAACTTTATGGGGATGCAATTTCATTTTCCAGCAGGACTTGGCACCTGCACACAGTGCACAAGATACCAGTACCTGGTTTAAGGACCATGGTATCCCAGTTCTTAAATGGCCAGCAAACTCTCCTGAACTTAACCACATAGGAAATCTATGGAGAGGAAGATGTGATACACCAGAGCTGAAGGCCACGATCGGAACAACCTGGACTCTCAGAACCTGAGCAGAGACACAGACTGATCCACTCCATGCTCATACGTACAAGTTCATACTTTTCAGTTGGCCAACATTTCTAAAAATCTTTTTATTGGTCTTAATATTCTAATTTTCTGAATTTGGGTTTTCATTAGTTGTCAGTTATAATCAACATTAAAAGAAATAAACATTTGAAATGTATCAGTCTGTGCGTAATGAATGAATAAAGTTTCACATTTTGAATGGAATTACTGAAATAAATCAACTTTTCCATGATATTCTAATTTTACGACCAGCACCTGTAAACCTGCACCAGAAAAATGACACCTTGACCATAAACACCTGGACACGAAACTAGACCTCCTGATGTCTCCTGATGATAAGTGTTCACAGCCCAATGAGACCACAGAGAAATAAATCAGACCAGATGATCAAGAGTGGTGAGCAAACATCTTTATTAATAAATGCTTCATCTGTACACAAACTGGTTTCAGACCAGCAGCAGTCAGAAGCTGGATGTTAAAGTATAATCCACCAAGTCATCATGGAAACAGATGCTTACAGTGATGTTAGAATGGGTTTGTAATATCTCATTATTCAGGTTTGCAGGGAAGTCCCAACAGGTCCGTTTATTTTGACTTCAAGCAAGAATAAAACTTTTAACCACTGGGCTGTTTAGAAGATCGCCCGAGGCCGAGAAGCTGATTAACGAAGTTTCAGATGTGGAGGGGAGACGGGTTCGAAGAATTGTTTTGACATGAAAGATAAAATAAACCTCAAAGAAAACTACAAGCTACAAACCAAAAGATTATGGGTAGCAACTAATTCAACGTTGTGGACGACTCGGGAATAAGATTTATGCTGCTCAGCGACGAACGGTCGTCCAGCCGTCGTCGTCCGTCTCGTTTTTGGTGCGACGAGGAGCTTCCTTCTCAGTACGCCAAGCGCTCTTCTCCCCATCAGCCTCCCGGTCACGCTCCCGCTCCCTGGGCCGATCCCGGTCCTCTTGTCTATCTTCACCTCCTCGACGCCAGGAGCCACCACCTAAGGAAACACGACACCACGAGAACACGATTACGTAAAGAAAACCAACGTCAGATACACGCAACAGGAGCACAGGTAGAAAGTAGAACTGGTTTATGCTTTGGTACCTTCTTCCTGATCTCTGGGTGGACCTCTGTTGTCTCGATCATCGCGGCGGTCTCGGTCACGGCGTGCTACGTTGCGATCCTCGCGGTCACGATTGGTGCGGTCCGTGTCTTCTTTGAAAGACTCTCTCCAACCTCCTTCTTCTGTGCCTCCTCTCCTCCAGCCGCTCTCCTCTCTACAAGAATACAGATAAATTTAACCGTATGTCACCAGGAAGGACACTAAAACACGTTTGGCACGATTACAAAAGCTACATTCAGACACGTATAAGACCTACCTTTGCGGACGACGGTCTCTGAAACTGGACCTTTCCTCCCCTTCACCGTCGTCATCGCTATCATGAGTCTCACCACGAGGAGGTCCCCAGCTCTCTTCTCGAGCCTTTTCTCGCTCTCGCCAGCCACCTTCAACAGAAACATGAAGTTTATCAACTTGTTGGACCTAACAGACCCGCTGCCTGTGTAATAAACAGTTCTGCTACAAATGCAAACTAACCAGGTCTACCGAGGGGCTTCCAGGGTTTGGCATCATCATCCCCACCACGACGTGGACCATCGTCCATACCTCTCCTACCAACTCTGTCATCATCCCCTCCTCTTCTAGGGCCCCAGTCATCGTCTGCTCCTCGCCTGGAAGGCCTGGAGTCATCCAGGCCTCTACGAGGACCTCTATCATCGTCAAAGCCACGCCTCGGGCCGCGGTCGTCATCGAAGCCACGCCTCGGGCCGCGGTCATCGTCAAAGCCACGTCGCGGGCCGCGGTCATCGTCAAAGCCACGCCTTGGACCGCGGTCATCGTCAAAGCCACGCCTTGGACCGCGGTCATC